GAACCATGGTCAGGTTTTTATTGTTGTCTGTGTCTCTGTTAAGGAGGGTCACCCTCTATATGTCCTGATTACCAATGTCACCGGGAATGAATGTTAGAGTAAATCTAAATTTCTAAGTTGCCACCAGAGCAGGAAAAAAAAGTGGAAATCATCCACTGGGGATACTTGTTCTTGTGACAACTGTCTAAGAGGACATTTATTTCCTTCACATTGGAAAGATATCCTCTCACTTCCTGTTGAGTCTACAGGATAGGAAGTGAAGGTAAATCGCCCTTAAGGGACACAATGTATTTTATCTATTGGAACATGGGGTACTGCCTATGTATCGTCTTTTGAGGAAACAGTGTTCCCCTAATCACCAAGAACAACTAGGTAAAAGTTATTATATCGTATATGTCCCAGAGGAAACTGGGTCAGATATGATAGGAAAGTGCAACATGGTTAGAATAAATCCACCTCCAAAGACAAACTCGTTTCAGTCACAATTACACAATATAGTGTTGATTTCTTCTTTTCTATTATTCTTTACCAATCCATCATATTTCCTACTTAGCCATTATATCAAATTCTCACATTCCACAGATTTTTAAATCATTAATTTTTCTGCCTTAGTAGAATAGCTTTGACATGCCTAAAGAGCCTCCTGACCTTTGTAGTGGACTGCTATTTGCCAGATTCCTTATCTGTCTGGTTTGAGTGGTCTTTATATTCCCATTAGCAAGTCTTAGAGTTAAAGGGGAACTATGAGGTGAGTGATAGTTCGTGCCGACGTGTGACAATGGAACTGTCACACGTCAGCTCAATAGATCGGGAAGTGAGCAAACGCATACCGCCGCTCCCTCACTTCTCGATCATGTCCCTGCAGAGAGCCGTGACCGTCACTCACGGCTCCCTGCAGGGATTCCCCCCCTCCCCGCTCCGATCCTCCAGCGCACACTGGCGGAACGGACGGGGGAGGGGGCAGGCACAGCTGGCTCTGCCTGTAGATAGGCAGACCCAGTTGTCCATGCAGCGGGGTGGTTCTCGACAGAAATGTCGGGATACGCCCCGGCTGCGGCGGTTTCAGTATACCACGTGCTGTAGCTCGCGATATACTGAGCTTTGGGTCATGGGAGGATGCTAGTTTAGGTCCTCCCGTGACCCTTAGGAGAACTATGGGGAAAAGCACAGACCCCATAGTTCTCCTTTTAAAGGTAGACAGCTAAACTCCCTTCCATAATAATGCTGTCACCATAACAGGTACTCTCCCCAACAGACACAAAGATGGCAATCAAACCCTGAAAAAGAATCAAACCTGTTTTATCATAATCAAAAAGGAAGTGACTAGAGTTACACTTTTGGGCAATTTGTTTCCAATTTTAAGAAACTCGATAATCCTCAAAATTTGCTGGGATATACAGTGTGCAACTTTAAATATTATTAAGCCCTGGTTCACAACTAGGCGGCATTGTTTGTGCCATTTATATGCACAATAGCAGCATGCGGTTATTTGCACGTTTATGCGCATTTGTATGCGTGTTTTAACGTGCATACATGAAGACGCGCGTTTTGATTGGCAGCTCATGAACCATTGTGGGAAATGGGAGACCGCACGTATAAATGCGCAAAAACGCTCACGAAATGTGCAACATGCTTCTGTTGAGCGCTTTTGGCCATTTCCAATCAAGCGCTTTTAACTGTCCAAAGAAGCTCCTGTATCTTGGCGTTTTTTTGCTCAGGTGTGAACCAGGACCATTGGAAATCATGGGATTTCTTGTGTTGTGCAGTTAAAAGCGCTTTTCGAACTGCTCAAAAACGCCTAGGTGTGAACCAGGGCTTAGAGACCAACTTCTACCTTCCACCTTTCCCCTGTATTAAGAGATATATCTATAGATATATATACTCGCCATGGAGCGAGTATCAGCAAAACAGCAGAATTCGTTAAATGTTCAAGAGCAGCTGTTAAAGTGTTTAAAGACTGGACTGTCAGCCGAAAATCTGGGTCTGAACTTGCAAATTTTGGCCGTCAGTGACTAGTCGATGTTAGGGCAGAACAGAGAGTGGCAAGACTGGTACAAGACAACAGAAGGGCAACAGTGCAGTGTCAGATTCCACGCATCACCTTTCAACATCTCGTGGAGTCATCTCGTGGCCCAACGAAGTACTGATGGGATGGTCATAATAATCTGGCCACTCAGTGTATATATATTTATATTTCCAGCTTGAATAGTAATTGACACATGAACAGAAAGGTGGTTCCTAAAGCTTTACACCTTTTGACTAAAAATCACATCGGCATACAGCTCTGCATGAAGACTGGGAAAGAAAAGAGGAACAAGTTATGCAAAAAATAAAAAGCCTGCAGTTATCTAGAAGTATGTGTTTGTAGATTGTAATTTTTAAATATTTCTAAAGGTGTGTTTGTTATTATTTTGAAAATATGGGTAAGGTTCCTCTTTAATAA